AGAGACACACACACACACACACACACACACACACACACACACACACACACACAGAGAGAGACAGAGAGAGAGAGAGAGAGACAGAGAGAGAGAGAGAGAGAGACAGAGAGAGAGAGAGACAGAGAGACAGAGAGACAGAGAGACAGAGAGAGAGAGACAGAGAGAGAGAGGCTTTTATAGGGGAACGTTATCATTATTAGGCAACATTTAACTCCCTATGTGTGAAATCATATGTTAAATGATAAGACAGTATTAACTGCATAGCTGGGAGATTTATCTTGACTAATTTATTCTGTGTCAGGTACTTTGTCACATGCTGGAGATATAAAAATGACTAAGATACTTCCCAACCTTCAGGAAATTGGGCAGACAGAAGAGTAAACACCTGACCTCGACAACACAGAGTGACGGGCACTGCCTTAGAAGGAAGGAGGACAGGGTGGAGCACAGCAGGGACATTTAGTGGGGTAGGCGTGGGACATTAGGGGAGGCTGCCCAGAGGTGATTCCTGATAGCGGGCTTGAAGGAGAAGTAGGGGATATTCAGGCAAAGGACTTTTTTCCTGAGGATTAAGGAAGGCTCCCTGAACTTAGGAGCCTGTGGGGGTGAACACAGACAATAGATGCCCATGACCTGTGAGTGGATATCAAGAGAGGGAATGGTGTGTATCCCTGGCTTAGGAATATCCTAGTACTTTTCTGGCTGTGCTGGGACGCCCCAGTTCCCCAGTGTGTACCCATTCTTTCCTGGATGAGACCTGCAGAGATGTGAGAACAAGTACTTTGGGCCACTGGTAGACGGTCCTTGAAAGGATGTTCCTTGAATGATTGAATAAGTGAAATAAGCCCTCTGGGCTTCCACATCTCCTTTCTACGAGAGTGAAAGTCAGCGGTGCCCCACTCTGAGCCAGCTACATGGGCAGGGTGGGGGGTCGTGGCTTGCAGCCCACGGGGTGTGGGGCCAGGTGGCAAGGCCGGGTGGTGTTGAGGTCTTCGGGCAGCGAAGGCTGCATGGGGGCACGGAGCCGGCCATCCTAAGAGGGGCCCTGGTTCTGGCTTGGTGGAGGTGCGGGGAAAGCAGAGAGATCAAGGCCCGGTGTTTCACGAATGTGGGCCTCAACTTCCCTACTCCAGCCCTCAGGCAGCTGTGGGGCGCGACGGGCCACCGCTCCAGGCTGGGGCAGGCGGGAGCGGGTCCGCGTTGACAGTGCAGGTCGGGGCGCCGGCCTGCGTGTCGTGAGTGTGTCTGCGCGTTCGGAGCGAACAGGCCGCTAGGATTTGTCCATCCTTGTCCTTGTCCATCCCCACCACTGTGCGGGGCCGGGCCCTGACACATGGCGCAAAGGGGTCCCCGCGCGTGGCTGACTCCGGTAAGGACCCACTGCCAGACCAGGAGATCTCGTCGCTCCCTCTTGGGGCAAAGATCATGCCTTCTAGCCCTTTGGAGCCCTGGGAGCTTGTTGCTCCCTCAAGCCCCCACTAGCTTGGGTCAGCTTGCCCCTCTCCCTCGAAGCGGCCATAGACGTGTCCTGGGCCCAGCTCCCTCGCCCTGCCCGCGCCCGCCAGTCAGCACTGGGTACCAGTGCAGGGAGGGCTTCCGGGCGGCGGCGGACGGCAGGCGGGGACGGTGTCAGGTGGCCGGGC